AATAAATAAGTTTAAAAGCGACTTTTTTTTTAACGACAGATCAGTTTTTAATGCTTTATAGCTACAGAGAAATAAATTTAAAAAACGTTCATTATTTGTATAGCTATTGGATATGAAATGTTTTAAGTAGTGAAAACTTAATAAATAATGTTTAAATTAATACTTCTGTTGGAACTATCTTATTTCAAGAGACAGATATGAACGGAAAAGTTCTATGTAGCAAATGTTCCATTTCCTTACAATAAAAAGTCCTACGACTTAATTCTAAATCATAGTATTTTATCGTTTTCAAATAAAAATTATATTACTTCATAACTAGTTATAATTATTTTTGTAACTAATATTTAATTTTATATTTAATATTAATGGCTTTTATTTTATTTTTTTTTAAATAATATTGGCTATAAAGTGATAAATTCTTATTATATGATATATTTATTTTTGTAATGATATAATTGTACATTAATAAAAATTATTGTATCATTATAACAATATTTTATTTTATTTTATATACTTTTGTTTAAATGTTTTTTTCTTAATGTTTATTATTTTTATATTACTGTTTTTCTTCTTTTTTTTTTGTTTGTTTTGTTTTATCTTCTGTAACTATATTTTTGTATAACAAGGTCCAATCCCGTTGAATAAATAAATAAATAAATATCTCGAGAAAAATTTTAATTTATTGAAGTTGATAAGAATTTTTAAATAAATACAGAAAAAAAAACAGATTATGCAATAAATCATTTAAAAATAAAAAATTTTATTTCGTTCTGTTGTTCCCTTTATGATGTTTACATGGTCTCCCACAATTTAATTATAATTGAAGAATACTCAAAAGCAGTTATATCGTCTTTATTATCAATCCCAAGGACAGAAAAGTATTTTCTAGTTTATTTTAAGGACAATTTTCACTTTTATCGTTTAATGGGTAAATTACTGCAAACTTTGGAATGTCGAGAATTCATTTTCAAAATTCATCCGAATCATTTTTAATATCTACTAGTCATCACGTAGTCTACAAATTATTTGTGAATTTCATAAATGATCCGCATAGTTTCCATTAAATGAAATATTTATATGAATGAAAATTGAAAATGCGAAAATTTTGTGTGAAAATAAGCGAGAACAAGATATGAGAGGTGGAAAATTTAAAGTATTTAGGATCAGTTGTGCAAAAGAACGATGGTATTGATGAGTATATAAGACACAGGATTAAGTGCAAATGAGTGCAATTCAGAGAAGCGTCTGGTGTGTTATGCAATTAGAGAATTCCAATGAGACTAAAAAGTGAGTTCTACAAGAGCTATAATTTATAGTTCAGAATGTTGGGTAGTTGATAGCAGAGATGAGATGCTTAAATGGATCAGTGTAGTGACTAGAATAGAAAGGATAAAGAACGAACATATAAGAGGGAGTATAGGTGTAACTTTAATCTTGAATAGGATAAGAGAAAATAAACTTAGAAAAGGGTGACTGACCCCAAGTAGTTGGGATAAAGATGAGAAAAAAAAAGAAAGATGAAGTCAATTATTTACGTCACAGACTGCTATCAATTTCATGATCAATAAAATATAAACTCTCAATTAACAACCATAAGAAGTGAGTTTATTCCTATATGAATATCATGTATAATTACAATTACCTCACTAGATCTCAAGAGATTTTGGCTATTAATTCCAATGTTGTGAGTCAATGGCAGCGAACGTACACAGAACTTCGTTAATAACAATAATAATTATAATAATCACAATGTATAAGAATGTTAATATTAATGTTAAGAATGCTAATGTATTAGAATAAATTTCCGCGAGAATGATAAAATTTCGACTCACTTTGACGTGTTTTAAATCAATTAAAATGTAATGTGTTCTGTTCACACCCGCGTGTCGCACACTCTTTGTTTGTGCTGATCAAGCACTAGTATAGTCGTGAAGTGTTAATGGTGGTGAAGGAAGAGTAATCTAACCGTAATAATGCCATAGATCAACCAAATTGTTTTTCTTTCTTTTTTATTGAAAACTGTTCTACATGTCCATAAATAGAAAATAGTGTAAAAAATCGCTCAGAATACATTAAGTTTCTAAAATAAAAATCTTTAAATTTTGATCAAAGTAATTGTTATAGAATAAGATTGATTTAATCAACTAAGTGGGCGATTACCGTAAAAGTTTTTCTTTTAGAAAATCAACACTTTGGTTCTGAAATAAAATTATTTTACACTTCGTTTCGTTGATATACGATAATTTTATTCTTCTGACCCTTTTGTTAAAAATTACTTTTATAGAGAAAATTCTAAGGTTAACGGATTGTAGTATAATGTAAATAATACGTGTCATTGTATGGAAATATTTAGTGCTTCATGAATACATGTAATAGCGTTATTTATTAGATTAGTGTTTCGTAGTATAATAAATTATTGCACGTTTCAATCTAATTAAATCAGAACAAAGATAACTTTTTGTTTATTTTTAGGGTATTATAGGGTAAGTTATATTTTAATAATCATAATAATTTCATCAAGGTACTGCAAGAATGGTTTTATTTTGAGTATTTTGTATTAAATGAACAATGTTCATTAAACACGTTTTTATCCATTTTTTTTAAATCTTGCATAATGTGTTTAAAACAATAGCATTGAATTTAACTTCTTCCAATAAAATCGAAATTACATTTTTTCATAGTAGTCATATAAAATTTTTATTTTTTATTGTTTAAAATGAATCGTAATATGATATTGCTTTCAAAATTCTAACATAAAATGATAGATGCTCAATTTTTCCGAAAAAATAATGATAACTGAATAACAACTGATTGGTTGTGTTTGTCTTAACCTCACCAAACCTAAACCCTATGTATACATATCCATGCATTATCCGCTTTTACTGGGTGTATCTGAAAGTGCTCGCATATTGGCATGACTGTCTTTCAAATACCAAAATGTTATTTGTTGAAGCAGCTATGGCTGAATATTACATGGGTATTTTTATATGGCGTACCGGGTATTAAAAATATCCGGTAGCAGGACAATAGTCTTCTTGGCTTTTTGTCCAAATGAATGTTGTGGGTGAATTACCTGTCGACTCATTCGTTATGGAAAAAACGGCGGTAGTTCCTACGATCAATGAATTATTAAGAGCTAGCGTATTCCTGGAATTTGTAACTCAGGTCGAGTGCAGCTCTAATAGATACATTTAGTACCAATACAGTACCTAGTTGGTATACCATTTGGCAGTACCAGTTAGCGGACTTTTTCATCAGCGTACTGCACATGATCCGAAGTGGGTATCAAATGCAGGTCGGCTAGGGCTCGTACGTTCAGTATGGATGCCATTGACACATTCACCTTACGTCATTCTAAACCAATTTTTAAACCTCAGATTTAATTTTCAGATTTATAAAAAAAATATACAAAATGAAAGTTAACGATATCATGCATCTATATAAAAAAAATTATATTGATTTGGTTATTTTTTAAAAAGTTATGGCAATTTTAAGTAAAAAAAATTGAAAACAACCCAGCACAGGGGGGTCGCGGCACAGTGGTGACGTGGCATAGATGGATCAAGTATAATGATATCTGACAGTGATTAAAATCACTATAAAAAAATAACGTTTCGATGCAAATCTTTAGATAGTGTTTAATTTTAAAAAATTGGAGGATAATCCAAAAGCTACATAATCTGCTATTTTCTTATTAATATCTTGAATAAAAAAGAGATTATTAAAAAATATTATTTCCCATAAAAAAATTGTGTTGATCCATACACTTTTCAATAAGTTATAGCATTATAAAGTTAAAAATGTAAAAAATAAAATCAAGAATTTTCACACAAAAATAGCATTTGGTAGCCATTTTCACCGTGAAGACAAAATAAAGTCCGAAATTTTTTTTTTCCATAATAAAGTATATTACATTAGCTTTAATTTAAGATATATATAAAAGCGTCATACCTTCTGGAATACTTTTAAAAGTTAAGTTGAAAAAGTTAATTTTTTGTGAAAAAGTTGTCATTTTAAATCCTTCCCTGTGGGCAGGTAAATGGTTAGATTTATAAAAAATATATGTCAAATAATAGGTAAAGACATCAAGCATCTATAAAAAAATATTTTTTATTGATATATTCATTTTTGAAAAAGTTATGGCAGTTTTTAGTAAAAAAAATTGAAAAAATTTCGAAAATTAGCGATTTTTAAATTTGTAATTTTTTTGAAGGTTTCCCCCATTTACGGGGAACGAGGGAAATTTTTTCAATTTTTGAGGGTTATTTCTTCTGCTAGATACGATTTGTGACCTATTGACGTATTGTTGAAAGAAATCGGTTAGGTGAGAACTGAGTAAAAGTGGTAACAGAGACAAAAAAAAAATTTTTTTTAAATAATAAAAAAAAAAACACATCATTGTAAAACCAATACCTTTTCAGCTTCGCATCGAAGCTAAAAACAAAAAAAAGTTGACCTAAAATAGTAGCAATCTCATTAGAAAAATTAAGCGAAATTCATACAATCAATAAAAAATATTAACTTAATAATGTATATTGTATAATATAAAAAAATTATTAAATATTTATTAATAAAAATTATATATATATAAAAAAAAAATTAACACTGGAAGCCACAAATATTATTAACAAATGGAGGATACGTGTTTTATGAATAATGTTACTAGAAACACTAAACACATACTTGTATATGTTAGGTTTAACTTAATTATGGATAAACTACCTTAATAACATTTTCTGTTTAATAATTTTATAATAATATTTTTAAAATATTATTAAAATGTTTTTATGACATTATTTTTTTAAATTGATATCTTTATTCATTATAATTAAGTTGTAAATTAGATATAACTTTCGATTTTTTTTTCTAAGAAAATCGTAGAAAAAAATTAATTTCTTGTATACAGCCAATATTTTCCGTTGTTTGTTTAAGTAAACATCATTAAAAAAAAAAATAAAAACAATAAAATTTAATTTTCATGAATCAAATATTTTTTGCAGAAAAACGAAGTATAATGGCGGCTTTTGTGGCGAAACAAGTAGTCGGAAACAAATTAAATGCTGTAAAAGGTTTGTATATCAATTTAAAAATAATTATTATTAAAATAATTATACTATAACTTGATAACTTTTTTGATGTTTTTCAATTAATTTTTACGAATAAAATTGGTTGTTATATTTTAAAATTAATAAAGTGTAATTAATTGTTTTATTTTTAACTTTTATAAAAAAATGTATTTATTTTTTTTAACAAAAAATAATACTAATAATATATAGAATTGAAATACGTTAAGAATGAAACGGGTTAAGTTGGTTGAATTTGGACAAAAGTTCTCTCTTTGGAGGATTGGGGGAATGATTCCTTGTACAATAAAAGTGTTGAAAGAGATCGAATCGGTCACCTACGGCCGCAGGTAATCCCAAAATAGATAATAAAAAAAGAACAATAATAAGAATAAAGTTAATAGCGCTATAATCAAATTATTTTCTAATAAGCCAATCAGAACAATCGAATTTTGAGAGAAATCATATCTACAAAGTACAGGACTTGGTAAAGAAAAACACTATGGATTTAATAATAAATAGATAAATTAATTGGGGTATGTTAAGTCATATTGAAACTAACTATAAATAGAGGTATGGTTGTTATGAATGCTAAAAATATGCATGTTCTTTCAAAAAACAGGATCAACAAGGAAATCTATATAATCTTTATCTAACAAAAAAATCCAAATTTCCATATCCCAAAATTTTCATTAAAATCCTATATTTGGGCTTTTAGATTATTGATGTGAAACATTTTTAGCGGTGGGTTAGAGCGTCTGTAAGCGTAGTGACATGTCGCCATGAAAGAATGACGATCCTCTTTCCACTCACCTTGACGATCCCCATCTATTTCACCACACTGAACCCGTATACCAATAAAGTATACACGTGTGCCTATTATGAGTAAAGGGGACAAAACCCCTAAGAATAGATGTGATTCATAAAAATATAAAAATAAAACATAAAAATTTCTATCACGCTGATCTTGTATGTATAGCGTATTCACGGGAGACCATTAGGGGGACAAGAGGAAATGTGTCTTTACAAAAACTATGTGATCTTCAAAAAAATGTTTCCCTAGCGTATCATATGCTATAGATGAGGGTACATTTGGTGGTCAAGGGTGACCTACCTCTCCTGAAAATTAAGTCAAGAAGAGTAAATAGAACAAAACCATCTCGTTTGAATGAAATATCTACTGCAAAGAGTGAGACCCGCTGTTGGCATGGCGACCTACACCATACATGGCGAAATTCTTCCTACTCGACTAAGCGATCCTCACACTTTCTTATTGTGCTGATTTCTTATACCTCATAGCGTTACCTATAGCGTTTATATGGGCGCTCACTAGGAGACAATGAGAGACATGATATGTGATCTTTCTTTCTTTCACCGAGTTGAACTCTTATACCTTTACCGTATACAATGCTGATCTGTATTTTGGAACTCGTTACCTGTATTTTATTTGAAAGTAATAACTAACATGTATTGCGATGCAATACATTTATAAGATGGGTAATATATTGAGATACGATTAACCTAATGAATATCTGTAATTTTATGAACAAAATAATAAGAGCTTTTTAAACTAGTTTAAATTTTAGAAGTCGTTTTTCTCTGCTTTGTAGGTGGGTATTGGTAAAAAATTTCAAATAAGTTTTATTTTTACATATATTGTAGATTAGATTTATTTAACTTTAGTAAAAGTCATTGACCAATTGTCACAGTAATGCTGTCAAAGGCAGCATCGATTATTACTATTACAGAAGTGACTAATTAAAATAATTTAGCCTTCTTAATTTTTAAGAATATTTATTCACATTTAATAAACTATGGTTTCGTGTATATTTTGTAAAAAATAATGTCGATGTTTCACATTTGCCAAGCGCCTCGTGACGTCACACATTTTTAAAAATTATTAAATTATATAATTATAAGGTTCTATCGGGGTTGTAGAGTCCAAGGGTTTAGATTAGTAAAGACAAGTAGATATAATAAAAAATGAATTAAGTTCCTCTCATGGAGGTATTAAATGCTAAGGTATTCTTGTAGTGGCTGGGGTCTTGGCCTCCTATCTAACACCCAGTCGAAGTATATTAAATAAATCTATTGCTTTACCATTCTTTAATCAGATTATTTATTCTAAATAATTGGGTTAACATCAAATTACTTACCCTTTTAGATATCTTCCGTAAAGATTTATAATGCTCCTTTTAAATAAATAAATAAAGTCTTGATGCAAAATGATTATAATATCTACTAAAAATTTACCGACGACAACACGGGGTCTCGGCTAGTTTGAAAATTATAAATTGGACAAAAGAATTCTGAATTCTACATTGAATTCAGAGCTTCAAAAGTGAAGTAGAGTCATTCGCTGGCATACACGCTCACGGACATGCAATCAGAACTAGGCCTTTTTTTATTATTATTTTTAAATACCCCCATCATGGGATGTTGTCGTCAGTGCTTTTAGTGATCATCAGTTTATTGTAATAAATTGAACATAACATGATTATTATTTTAAGATAAGATATATAGTAAACAATAATCAATTTAACACATACACACACACATATATATATATAATAACTAGTGTACAACAGTGTATATGTTATGACAGATAAATTAATTATTTGTTTGTATACAATTGGTATTAAATATAGATTATTAATTTTTCATCGATAAATGTAAAATGCATAATACAAAGCATTGAGCATATTATGACATTTATCAACGAATATTATTTTTAAGAAGAAAAATTTTTAATTTATGCTTTGTTTCTATCATTTATGGCAAGCATTAACTAGCATTAGTAAAAAAAAATCAGAATCACTTAGTGTATTATATTTGTTTATAGGCAATTTATAATCTTATTATTTTAAATAGTTTATTCAGATTTAATATAAATGTTAAATAAATACTAAATGTAGGTTTGAAAAAAAGTCTCATAATATTTTGATAAATATTGCAATTTTTGACTTTTATATATTTTATTTTCATTGTTAATAGAGTTTTGAAAGCTTTATCACAAAAATTAGCTTTTAAAAATGTTCCGAAAACACTGACATTTATATATATCTTAAATAAACGGTTATTTCATTTACTTAAATATGAAAAAAAAAAATTCGAATTTTATTTTGTCTTCGTGTTAAAAATAGCTGCCTATTTTATCTTCAAGTCATTAAAATTATTCTAATTGTTTGTTCTTCTTTGTTATGTGAATTTTATCTTGTTTTTTTGTAACCATATGTGTTAATCTTGTAAAATGTTCTGTTAAGTCCTTGTCGATTTAAACCAATTTTCTTCTGATGCATATGATTTCATTTTTTTATAGCTTTTGGCTGGCCATTTATAAATTTCTTATTGTACCTTCATACTTTTTTGGGTGATTTATGTAAACACATTGTGGCATTAGTCTTTTGTCTCTACGTCCTTTACATGATTGTTAAATCTGATACAATGTTAGCCTTCTTCTAAGATAAAAATGCCCCATTGTCTGCAAGTCTTCTACACATCCTCTTCGTTGAGTCTTTAAATGATTGTATTAAAGCTTTCGAAGATTGTCATATTGCTTAAAATGTTTACGGATGTATCCACGTTTTCGGTTATGAGCTGACGTTTCGGACTCGTTGCAAAGTTCATCTTGAGAGAATTAGTTACAGGTTCATGGTTGTAACTGCTGTCGGTTTAGTTTGTTTACGGTATTTTTTTATATCAGTTGAAAACTGATAACGTTATATTATTGTTTTTGTCGTGTTGTTATTGTAAAATAGCTAAATCAAAATGATTCTTTCACTTACATAGAAAGTGGCGAAGACGTTTTTCCATTTATTTCTCAGAATAACCGCTACACATTGACTGCCTCTTTTCTCACACTCACTATGAATTATTATCAAATTAATCACTGTTTCCTGGTTACTATGTTCAGAGATCCCTCTCTCTTGAAATTTCTTCTATCTTTTAATAATTTTTTTCATAAAAATGTACAAATTTAAATTTGATTTATTTTTATAAATAATGTAAGTATCAAGTTTATTAAAAATTATTACATTTATATTTCAAAAAAATATGTTAAAAGTAAGATACTTGTATTAAATATTACTACTAAGAATTTCATCTTGATCTTTGCGTTTTTTAAATATTTAGAATGATTTAAATATAATTATTATAACTAACAAAAAAATACACGTTTATTGTTTTTAGAGGACGATTACTCATAAAAGACAAGTCATCAGAATACCTTCCTTTTTTAATCGCTGAGTACTTAAAAAAAACTTCAAATTTGAATTATTTTTAGATAGTGTAGTTGTTATGCTATGAAAATAACTCTAACGTACATAATACAATATGCTAATTAGACCATAAATTTACATACACTCTGTAATTTCGAATAGTATTTCTTTTTTCATCTCGATGTACACTGTATTATTTTCAAATTTAATGTAGATTTAATAAAGGTAGGTTATTGGAACATTATTAGAAATAAACAAAACAAAAATGTTGATATAATTTTTAGCAAGTACCTTACAGTAGTTTAGTCGATAATTGTCTTTGTTCTTTTTCCCCACTTTAATCCCAACTACTTGGGGTCGGCCAAGTTTACTTAAGTCGATAATTATACTTTCCAAAAAAAATATTTTGTTGACAAGGCATATATCTATAGTATATTAATAAGAATTTTTATTTGATAAAGGGGAAATTTTTTTCAATTTATGAATATAAATATATTTATAATATTATTAAACTATCTACTAGTTGTGATAATTTAACATATCATTGAAAATGTTAGTTTAGTGAGAGCTGAGAAAAATAAATGACAGACATTAATGAAATATCACATAGTAAATTGGTTTTAATATAAATAAGAAATTCCTTCGTACAAAGGGAAACTACAATGATTGGGTCTAAGATATTCATTGAAGTTATTCAATATAAATGAGATAAAAATAAAACGAATTTTGAATTTTTTTGAAAAACTCAGTATTTTCAGATTTTGTTATTTAAATTTTATTTCTTACAGT